CAATGTCCCGGCGGAGAACCGCGGGCCACGCGGGGGCTCGTCGTCGGGCCCTCCGCCAGTGGCTCCTCCTTCTTCTCCTTGTCGTCCCCCGCCCCCTGCCCCCCCCCAGCCCATCCCCCTGCTGTTGCTCAGTCTTCCTCCTCGCCCTCGTCGTCGTCGTCGTCCTGGTCGTCGTCGTCGTCGTCGTCGTCGTCGTCGTCGTCCTCCTCCTCGCCCGGTTGCGGTTGCGGTTGCGCGCCCGCGGGCGCTTTGAAATGTGTCGCCCGGTTGCGGTTGCGGTTGCGGTTGCGCGCTCCCGCGGGCGCTTTGAAATGTGTCGCCCGGTTGCGGTTGCGGTTGCGCGCCCGCGGGCGCTTTGAAATGTGTCGCCCGGTTGCGGTTGCGGTTGCGGTTGCGCGCTCCCGCGGGCGCTTTGAAATGTGTCGCCCGGTTGCGGTTGTTGGGTTGCGGTTGCGCGCCCGCGGGCGCTTTGAAATGTGTCGCCCGGTTGCGGTTGCGGTTGCGGTTGCGCGCTCCCGCGGGCGCTTTGAAATGTGTCGCCCGGTTGCGGTTGCGGTTGCGCGCCCCGCGGGCGCTTTGAAATGTGTCGCCCGGTTGCGGTTGCGGTTGCGCGCTCCCGCGGGCGCTTTGAAATGTGTCGCCCGGTTGCGGTTGCGGTTGCGCGCCCGCGGGCGCTTTGAAATGTGTCGCCCGGTTGCGGTTGCGGTTGCGGTTGCGCGCTCCCGCGGGCGCTTTGAAATGTGTCGCCCGGTTGCGGTTGCGGTTGCGCGCCCGCGGGCGCTTTGAAATGTGTCGCCCGGTTGCGGTTGCGGTTGCGGTTGCGCGCTCCCGCGGGCGCTTTGAAATGTGTCGCCCGGTTGCGGTTGTTGGGTTGCGGTTGCGCGCCCGCGGGCATTTTGAAATGTGTCGCCCGGTTGCGGTTGCGGTTGCGGTTGCGCGCTCCCGCGGGCGCTTTGAAATGTGTCGCCCGGTTGCGGTTGCGGTTGCGCGCGGGCGCGCGGGCGCTTTTGATGTCGTCGCGGTTGCGGTTTGAAATGTGTCGCCCGGTTGCGGTTGCGGTTGCGGTTGCGCGCTCCCGCGGGCGTTTTGAAATGTGTCGCCCGGTCGCGGTTGCGGTTGCGCCGCCGGGTTGCGCTCCCGCGGGCGGTTTGGAATGTGTCTCCCGAGCTGTCCCATGACGTTCAGTCAGTCATCAGTCAGCCGGCGGGCACGGAATTTCACCCGGCTCCGCCGGGAACTACACGGATGGTGTACGGCTTCGTTTCAAAAACGTGACTCGCTGGACACTTGTTAGAGATGCCTGGTCCTGGATTACTTAATTCATGTGTTTGTCATGATGGGATTCCCCCCTGAATGGCAGGCTCATGCGGTACTCATCTTTCAATTGGGTGCTTCCTGTAGTGAACAGGGCATCCTAAGTTTACTCTCCTTCTCCTCCTCCTCCTCCTCATGATCCTCCGTTCCTCCCCCTTCTCGTGTGGTCTCTCCTCCCTCAACTTCCTCTCCCCCACCATCTCTCCTTCTTAGCCTCCTCCCTCCGCACCCTTACCATATACTCCCTCACCCTCCTCATCAATATTCTCCGTCTCGTTTACATCTCAGTCGTCGATGTCCCCCTCCAAATGCTCGAGCCCCTGCTCGGAGTGCACAGTGTGGGGCCAAGTCCGGCAAACGTTGCTTCAACATTGTCGTTGGATGTCTAGGCTCCCGCGCACGAGGTTCGGCACGCACGGCATGTATATGGGAAATGAGAGCATCAACAGCAAACGTTGTCCAAAGCCGATTCGGCCGAAATTGGGCAGGCGATCTTTCTGTCTCAAATGGGCAACGTCCGTGGCGGCATCGACAGCGAAACCTGGTCTCTGACTGTGCAATACCTATTGTCGGCCGTCGTCCACATTCTCATTTCGTAGCCATGTCCATCGCACCTGAAAAACGCGGGTCATGGACCCCAGGGCTCCCAACCCAGACAAGCTTTTGATCCCCAGTCGCTTTTTATGGTCCTGGGGCCCGTGGAAAGCCCTGGGAGCTCGAGAACGGCGAAAAGTCTCCCAGGACCAGCTTCCTCCAGGGCCCCTTTCCTGTATGGCCACTGGGCCGCCATTGACTCGGGTCTCCGACGGAAGCTCCGGACGAGCCGGCAACCCCCCGAACACTTCGGCGAGGTGCAGCTGCTGGAACGCACCCTGCAGCAGGAGAGCCCGCAAGAACTCACGAACGTATCGGAGATCCCGCCCAGTAACGGGGAAACCCCCAGGAGCTGACGAGAACGTCCGAAACCCTCCAGGGAACCGTTCAGGGAACAAACAACTACACAAACATAATTTCTCGGGCGTCCACGCGGATCTCTTAGACCAGCGCTGGAACCCCCCACCTGAAGGGGCCCAAGGACACACACACATAAATACACACAAATAAAAATATTCCCCATATTTTCCCATATTTTCTGGGTTTCTGTCTTCCCCCCCACTTCCCATATTTTCCTATATTTTCCTGGGAATCGAGAATTGATTGTGTCTGTGTGTTTTTTCCTCTCCTGACCACCCCTGGCGCGCGGAGCGCGCCAGGGGCGGCGCCGGAGGCGCCGCCAACGGAGACCCCACGCCGCTCCCATGAAATCCGCGCGGACCTCCGGGAGATCGCGTGCCTGTGCAAAGTTCTGTGGTCTTCGACTCGTCCGAAACCCCTTCCGGGAGGCGTGCCTCGGGTCGGGCGAAAGGGGGGGATAGCAAAGGGGGGGTTGAGAATCAGCTCACCTATAGCTGATCTTCCCGGCGCCTCCCGGCGCCGGAGGCGGCCATGCATCGAGGAATGGGCCCCTCGGCGAGGCCGAAACCGGCTGCATGCAGCACATCTCGTAACCCCCCCTTTCCCACCCTGACCTTCCAGGAGGGCTAAAAAATAGCACCCGACTGAAAAACCTATCCCAAAGCTATTCTACGTCTTGGTTTTAGGCTGTTTCGCTCGGCTTTTTAGGTTTTTAGGTCTCCAGTGCTAAAAAATAGCTCTCTGGAAGGTCAGGGCAATCCCCCCCTCTCGCCCGGCCCGAGTGCTCTCCGTGCCCGGTGGGCTTCGCCCCCGGTGGCTGGCCATGCCCGGCAGCTGCAGCGCCGCGCGCAGCAGCCCCCGCAGCGCCCGCAGCAGCAGCCGCCCGCCGCGGCCCGCGCGCCGGCGCCGCGGGCCTGTCGGGCGCGGTGCGCAGGGCACGAGCACGGAGGGGGCAGGAGGACGAGGAGGAGGAGGAGGAGGAGGAGGAGGTGGGGGAGGAAAAGGAGCAGGAGGTGGAGGAGGAGGAGGGGGAGGGGGAGGGGGAGGGGGAGGAGGTGGAGAAGGAGGAGGGCAGGCAGGCCGGGCGGCCACGGCACGAGCAGGGGCGCGGCGAGCGGGGCACCTCCGCCTCGCGCTTTCCTCGGGCCGCCGCCTCCCCCCCCCCCCCCTCCGCCTCCCTTCCTCCTTCCTCCCTCGCCTCCCTCCCTCGCCCCCCTCCCTCCCTCCCTCGCCCCCCCTCCCTCGCCTCCCTCGTCCCTCCCTCGCCTCCCCCCCTCGCCCTCCCTTCGTTCCTGCATCCCTGGCCCCGAGCAGCACCTCTTCCCGGTCGCTGCCCCAGACGTGTTTTCTTGGGGCGGGCCGTGGGTGCCGCCAGACCTCCTCGCCGCTGATGATGCTGAGGCCTGAAACTTGCAACCGCTTCACGGATGGAGGGCGGGCGGTCTTCAGAATACGACTCTCGCCTCGGAGCCGCGCACATCCGTCGTCAAAGAAAGTTTGAAGAGGTCGCAGTCATGTTGATCCGCGGCGTTGTAATCCCACGCACGGTGTTTTGGCAGCGTTGAGCATTTCTCAGAGGGTCGTCTTCGAACGGGCCATTTCCCAAAATGAGCGACACATCTTTTTGGGACCTTTGCAGCAAGAACTTAGAGGAGGGTGTGTTGCAACATCGTTGGTGCGTTTTGGGTGTACCCTGGTCCTTACTCCTCCTCCTCCTCTTCCTCCTCCTCCTCCTCCCCCCCCTCTTTCTACCTTCTTCCTGCTCCTCCATCCTCCTCTTCCCTTTTCTCCGTAGCCATTTTGGCTCAAGGTGACATGCTTGGGGGGCTTTCAGCATCCGAGCTTGCAAGGATTGCTCTAGTCCGAGCACAGTCTTCAACTTTGCGGCCTGTTCGCCCAGGTCAGGACCGCTCGATCAGATCGAGCTGCTTTTGTGAGCTCCTGCTGGAGCAACCCGAGCGCTGTGCAGCACGACGCCGCCATGCGGAAGCGTCAGACGTACACGGTGTGCAGCGGCTACGGCGGCTGGGTCTTCGACCGGAAGCTCCAGCGCTCGGGTGGATGGTGCAACAAGTGCGACAATTACCTCACGGGCTGGAGCTCAGCGGGACCGAGGAGTGCAGGACTACGAGGTGGGAGTTCCCCGCCATGGAAGTCCCTGGAGGCGCAGTCATCACCTGCAGATGAGATCCAGCAGATCCTCGACAAGTTCAACAACGGGAAAGGCGCTTTCGGCAAGGCCAAAGAGAAGGTGGACCTTGGGCCTCTCCAGGCGCTCCAGGCCCAGCTCATCGCTGAGGATCCGAAGCCGTGTCTCCAATATCACGCAGTGGGGCCCAACGACCCACAAGTACATTAACAAAGAGGATACCGACATGGACATCATCATGATGTGCGAGACGCACATACCACACCACAAGCTGAAGCAGGTGAAGGTGGACGTGGCTAAGGACGGCTGGAAGATGACGGGCACAACGGCGGTGCCCACCAAGCGCTCGGAGCTAAGGAACCTCTGGGGGCGAGATCATCGTGGCCACGGCCCACATCGCCTGCTTGACGTACGACACGATCCGCGAACGATTACAAACTGATGGGAAAAAGGACCCCTTCTACGGTTCCATGGCAATCAACCTCCACACGAAGGCGGGGAACGTGGTTTTGATTGGCTTCCAGGCGCCGGTTTACATGGAGTTAATCAAGAACGAGTGCGCTCGCTGGCAGGCTTTGTGAAGGCGCTGGCGGACACATGGGTGATCCTCGCAGATTGGAACGTGCCGTTCGAAGACATCGCCAAGACGGGTTTCGTCCAGCAGATTGGGGGCGCGCTCATCAAGCCAAATGTGGAGGTCACATGCGACAAGGGGAAAGGCAGCCTCATAGATTACGGCATCACCAGGACGGACTTCGTCGACAAGGTAAAACTGCAGGCCGTCAGGAAGGTACCGTGGCGGACGCATTGCGGGCTCACGCTGACCTTGGATGGAGCTTCGCGACCTTGGTGGCATCGCATAATAGTTTTACCAAAGGAGTTGGCTACGCCGGCCAAGCCAAAGAAGAAGGCAGACCCGAACAGTCAGAGGTCACGCAAGCGGCAAGAAGAACGGCAACGAGCAGAAGAGCGTCTTGAGCCGCATTTACGCGAGGCGTTCCAGAGCAAGACGGTGATAGAGGAAGAGGCTGAGAGGCATAAGGAAAAGCCGTACTACATCACAGACGAAATTTGGGCTCAGACAATGGCATCAGAGAGTCACGAATGGGAGCTTTCGGACGAGCTCAAGTCCTGGGACGGCGGCCTCATCATACGTGGACAGCGGCATGGGACGGTAGAAGCTGCGGTCACCAAGATGTACGCGGAGTGGGTCACATGCTTAGAGGAGTCGGCTATCATCACAGACGAAATCGCAGAAAAAGAAGCGGACCAATAGCGAGGACGCGCAGGAGGCTTCGAAGTAAAATGGGTAAAGGCTCGATCGACACCAGGGAGAACGCACATGAAGTTCGGGCCAGCGGAGCAGTGGGGCATCCTGAACGCGATCCTAGTACGCTACCACGCCCTCTACAACAACGGTACCGATGACAGGCAGCAGGCAAAGTGTTTAGCCAACGCGAAGACGCAGAGCAGGGTCCTGCAGGACATGGAGCAGTCCCTTGTCTGTGGTAAGAAGTATGGAGAGGCGTCACAGCAGATGTTCTACGAGATGCTGGGGGACCTGGCCGACCTGGAAGACGGGCAGATCATACCTGGCCCAACAAGCAGAGGGTCACCTAGCTACGGCCCAAGCACGAGGCATCACGGCACAGCGGAAGAGCTTTACGGCATGGGCGAAGAAGGCATGGAAGGAGAAGGTCGGTCAACTCCACCGCCACGTCAAGGAGTAGCAGCCCCCCAGGTTCGAGTTATGCACGGAGCAGATGGAAGGCGTGGCGGACCCAGACATCATGACAAGCATCAAGAAGGACGAGTGGGAGCGAATATGGAGTGATCCAGTGGACACAAAGGTAGATATCGCGTACCAGCTGGACATTATGCGCGACAAGGCCTGGGAGGACGAGATAGACCCGCTCACCCTGGAGGAGCTGGACGGAGCGAAAGGAGTGGATCACCTCGGACCGAATGATGTGGCACGCTCTCCATGGCAGGCGCGAGAATGGCCACTACCAATATTACAGTTCTGCGAGAAGGAGATTACATGGCCGAGGCAATGGGCAGCTACGAAGTGTGCGCTGGCAGCAACACCGAAAGGAGGAGATAGAGTACTCGGCATGCTGGCGCTCCCGATTAAGCTATAGTCAAGAACGAGAGGATGGATGTTGTGCACGATGGAGTGACTCGCTCTCGGCGCACTGGGACACGGCACTCAAAGGAAGTTCGGCGCTACGAGCAGGACTACTTCGAGCTGTACTAGACGAGGTTGGAGCTGAACTAGGAGCCTCGGCCATGACGCTCCTCTTGGACATAGAGAAGTTCTACGACACAGTGTCACTGGTCATATTATGTCAGATAGCGATCGAGGTTGGCTTTCCAGCAGCAGTGGTGGCGCTAGAGATTACGGCATTCATCGGCCCCAGGTTCCTACAAGAGCGGAACATCCTCAGCGAGCCGATATGGGCAACGCGATCGCTGGTGGCAGGCTCGGCCAGAGGAGTAGGGTTGGCCAAGGTATTCCTTCACCCAATCTTGGATCGAGCCTATCGGCAAGCACCACAAGCATCATTATGGACATTCGTGGACGATACAGTGGCACGCCAAGAAGGAAGCAGACAAACGGTAGGCGATGGCATCAAGCACGTGACTCAGATTATCACGGACGGCCTCAAGAATCAGAGGATTACGATCTCGAGCAAATCAGTCCTTATCGGCACGCACCCCAAAGATGTGCAGAAGGTGGCGAAGGCGATGAGGAAGCAACGAATACCTGTACAAGCGGTCACGGAGGCGGTCGACCTGGGCCTGGACACGGCAGCAGGGAGAAACAGAGTCACGGCGAAGGCTAAGGAGAGAAGTAAGAGAGCCAAGCACCGGTTTGCGGCCCTGGCTAGAGAAAGCAAAGGATTATGGAGCGCAGGAGCGATACCACAAGCGGTATATGGACACCAAGCGTTCGGACTGGCACTACACGAGCTTCAACGACTCCGTAGAGAAGCAGGACAAATTGCAGGCGGTAAGGCTCGCGGGAGGTGCCTAACGACAACACTTGCGGTGGAGATATGGACTGTCGACCCTGGAATTGCAGTACGCGTGGCAGTAATCAAGGAGTGGATCAACATGTGGCAGCGGTTCCCAGAGATACACCCTAAGTTTGTCAAAGCGTGGCCGCTCATCCGCACGAGACTGGTCAAGCTGGGACCGAAGAGGTGGCGTGGAGTACGCGGACCAGTGGGAGCAGTACAGGCGACGCTCATGAACGTGGGTTGGTACGCTCCAAGGGCAACTATGTGGTCTCGGCCAGTCGGCGAATATGATGATCTAGCAGAACAATGGGATCTACCATCGGCTTTGGACGGAAGCTTCGAATAGACAGGGTGCTTCCAGCAGTTTTTGGACGATTCCGAGCACGACATAAGAGGGCAACGCTAGCGATCGGCAGCAGCACACCCAAATGGAGAAGGACTGGAAGCAGGAGCTGATGTGTGGCACATTCGGGCAGAGCAGCGTCGCCTCGAGAAGAAGGGCCACCTAGGCATGATCGGCTTGAATATCACGGTGGTCTCAGGCGGGCAGTGGCACAAGACTCGAGCGGCAGAACAAGGGTACCTTCTGGAGAGCAAGCTGTGCGACAGGTGCAAGGAGGCGGACGAGACCCTCATGCACAGAATACGGCTCTGCCCGAAGAACACGGACCACGAGGATTTCGCAAGGACTGAGTCCCTGTTGCCCGCTGCCATGGCGAACGCGGAATCGCAGCCTGCACTTTGGCTGCGAGGACTGCCGCCAGCCTCTCTCACCCATCCTGTTTGTAATGATGAGGAACTCGAGGGGAGGGAGGGTCGGTTTGGTGAGCTGGGGGACTGGGAGGAGTACAGATTTAACGGTGTGGTCCACATTTTTGGCGACGGGTCAGGGGACAGATTTTCGTCGGACACTCGTCGCCGCCGATGTGGAGCAGGAATAGCAGCTATCAGTTTTTCATGAAGGAGAGTGGGAGGTCAGTCGCGCCCTCGCTGTACCTCTCACAAGTAGTAGGCAAACGGTTCCCCGATCGGAGAGTTTAGCTTTTGCGGTGGCGCTTGAAGAGTTCCTCACTGATTTTACTTTTGTCACGAACCATCGGTCGGTCGCAAAAACCTGGAGAAACCGCTTCGAGCATCCGAAAGCCACGGGTCCCAATGAGGACCTATGGACACGCGCTAGAGTCGCCTGGCAGGTTCACCCAGATCGAGAACTTAATGTAGTGTGGACGGCCTCACATTTAGATGAGACCCCAGAGCTGCTGAACGCTCCTGGGCAGGAGTTCTGAGCTGCTGGGAATGTTGCTGCTGATATCTGGGCGGGAGTCGGGGCGGAGCTGGCGTTGGGGTGCGGACTGGTGGGGGAGAACCCTGATATTGACGGAATCGATTCAATTGCGCACTTGGTGCGCAAAAGAGCTAGACGAGCGCTCGCGTTGGCCGCCTCGGCTGAGACGGGAGAGCAAGCCAGCAGAGCCTCAGCAGTAAAGAAGCTCTCTAAGCAGGAGAGAATGATAAAGCCTCGTCTCACCAGCTCGAGAAAGTAGGTAGCAAGTGGAGATGCTCGCAGTGTGAACTGATCGTCCCAGGGTCAAGATGTTTGCGTTTCCCGGCTTCCCCGTGCTCAGGGAAAAGCAGCCTAGGGGCCCCAGAGTTCAAACCAATGAATGGAGTAGACCTCGAGATCCACCCGTCTCATTCGATCACGTTTGTTGATCACTGGCTCCTTCGGATTTGCTCGCTGTGCGGGAGGTCTGCTACGGTGGACTCGAGGCACCTGCAGAAAAAATGTGACGGTCTCATCCCGAACGGGGTCGAGAATCTGCGAAGAATTGATCTCGGGTTGTTTTCTCGACGGGAAGGTCCCCCAAGAGCCATCAAGCTGGCCATGGCTCTGAGGGATGATCGTCGTGTCGTGTCGGCCCACGAGGCCAAGGGGAGTGCGCAGCGAGAGCCAGAGGGGGCCCCCGCCGAGCCTCCTGTAGTGGCACGTGCCCGCAATGACGGGCAAGATCGTGATCAGTTGCGTCAGGTTGCCAAGGAGCTTCGGACGCAAGCGAACATTCAGAGATTGTTGGCGGCGGCGAGAGGACCGCAGATTTTAGACCAACGGGCGACGCAGGAGGATTCAGACGCTTCGGACTGACAGCAAATGACTGGAAGCAGGATGGAGTGTAGGACGAGTGTCCGCGAGCAAAGAGTTCCAAAGAGTTCCTCCTCTTCCCTCCTCCTCCTCCTCCTCCTCCTCCTCCCTCCTCCTCGTCCTCATCCTCCTTCCCCTGCTCCTCGTATGTACTTCCCTCTGCCACACACAGATCCCTTGGCCTCCTCCTTATCCTCCTCCACCAAATTCTCCTACTTACCCTCCTCCTCCTCATCCTTATCCTCCTCATCCTTCACTCCCTTGCCTCCCTTCCTCCTGCTCCTCCCTCCTCCTCTTCCCTCCTCCTCCTCCTCCTCCTCCTCCTCCTCCTCCTCCTCCTCCTCCTCCCTCCTCTCCCCAGTCCCCCCTCCTCACCCTCGTCCTCGGCACACTCCGGCATCGCCTAATCCTTCTACCCGTCCTCATCCTCCTCCGCTTCATCCTCCTGTCGCGTTCGCTGTCGGCATCAGTGTTCAAACTTGGGCGCTGCCATCCTCCTCCTCGTCTTCCTCGTCCTCCTCCTCCTCGTCCTTCGGCTCTCCCTCTTTCTTCCTTGGCCACCTCCCCTCCTGGTCCCGCGACGGTACCTCCTCGTCCTCCTGATCCTCCTTGCCTTCTATCCTCACCCCGATAGCCTATGGAGAGGCGTGGGGAGATGACGAAGGGCAGCCGATTGGCAAACTCGCCAACGGTCGGCCTCCGGGAGCTGGAGCTGGAGCAGCAGAACGCGCCCGCGGGAGGAGGCTGCCAGACGAGAAGCCACCCGCGCAGCCAAGCAGCCAGGCCGAAGCGCGAACGGGTCCTGGCCCCGCGACCAGCCCCTGCTCACACTCCGGGGCCTTTTGTACAGTCAACCCGTATAACGAGGACGCACGAGAAGGATTGCAAGGGCCATGGAAGGCCATGCGGACACTGCGCGGGCGGGGAGCGCCTAGCGACAGCGGCCAAGGATGGGACGAAGGGGAAGGATGCAAGGGTAGCCTTGGAAAGTCCCTCGTGCTTACTACGCGGGATGACTGTACAAGGCACTCCAGGCCCTTCCATACATGGCGGCTGCGTGTGTGTGTGTGCGCGTGTGTGTGTGTGTGTGTGTTGTGTTGTCTTGTGTTGTGTTGCGTTGCGTTGCGTTGCGTTGCGTTGGGTTGGGTTGGGTAGCGTTGGGTTGGGTTGAATTGTGTGGTGTTGTGTTGTTTTGTGTTGTGGTATGTTGTGTTGTGTTGTGTTGTGTTGTACTGTGTCGTGTCGTGTCGTGTCCCGTCGTGTTCTGTTGTTTTGTGTCGGGTTGTGTTGTGTTGTGTTGTTTGTGTGTGCGTGTGTGTGTGTGTGTATGTGTGTGTGCAAGTGTGTGCACGTGTGTGTAAGTGTGTGTACTTGTGTGTGTTGTGTGTGTGTTGTGTGTTGTGTGTTGTGTGATGTGGTGTGTGCTGTCTGCTGTGTGTTGTGTGTTGTGTAATGTGTGCTGTGTGTGTTGTGTGTTGTGTGTTGTGTGTTATGTGTGCGTGTGCGTGTGCGTGTGTGTGCGCGTGTGCGTGTGCATGTGTCTGTGTACGTGTGCGTGTGCATGTGTGCGTGTCCATGTGTGCGTGTGCGTGTGCGTGTGTATGTGTGTGTTGTGTTGTGTTGTGTTGGGTTGTCATGTCTTGTCTTGTCTTGTCTTGTCCTGTGTTTGTGTTGTCTTGTGGTTGCGTGTGTTTGCTCGTCTGTGCGTGCGCGGCCAGCAAGCCTCGAAGTGGTCTCGGGATGCTCCTGAGGGGGGTTGCGGCGGCCCACATCCCGGACAGTCTTCTCTTCTGAGGTGTTTGTTTGTAATTGCGCTTAGAGACCCGGACCACTCCCAACCACCACCCCAAACAATTGCCAGAGCCAAGCCCAGCCACGGCAAGACCATACTCCGGGGCCCAGAACAACCTAGCGAGAGCAAACGCGAGGGCGCAAGCGGCAGGGAGGAGCCTACGTGGTGTGATCATGCCGACCTGACTCGTGAGAAGACCCGACAGTGAGCCAAACGTGAACCACCACGCAGGCCAAAAACATCAGAGGCCTTCGCAGATGTCTTGGGTCGGCGCTGGGCCTCCGTCTCCCAACACCCATGGGCGGCGCCAGCAGCGCCGCTCCTGCTGCGATCTGCGCGCTGCGGAAGGGACGATGGGGGTGCGGGGACGATGGTCTCGAGCGCCGGGCGAAGAAATCCACGCGGACCTCCGAAAGTTTGTGCTTTGCAATTTTCGGGCCATCTGGAGCCGTGGGCCGAGTCTATCCATCGCCACCGCGCTGGAAGTGGTTCACCAGGGCCCCTGGAGCGACCGCATGTGGTATCTGTTTGGGCCCTGGGGGCACCAAAAGCATCCAAGTCCGGCCCTGGGAGGTCGGTTCTCCAGGTGGTGATGCCAGAAAACATCCCAGCCGCTGAGGTGATGCCGAACCGCAGACACCGCACCGCCTCGGTGCGGCTGGTGAACGCAGGGTGGCACGGGAGATCGACAAGCACTCCGAGAGGGAGCGGCACCCCAGCCCGCACGGCGCGAGGGGTGCGGCAGCAGGCGCACGCGCGCGCGGCCCGAGGCTCTGTCAGGGAGCGCCGCTCTGGCCGTCTCTCGTCAGGGCCGACCTCGCGGGCTGCGCGGTAAGAGACGGCCGCCGCTGGCCCCCCTCCCCTTCCTCGCGCTCTCGCGCCTCGTCCCCCTCCCTGCCCTCCCTCCTCTCTCCTCCCTCCTTCCTCGCTCCCTGCCCCCCTCGCTTCTCCCTCCCGCCACCTCCCTCCTCCATCCCTCCCTCAAGCAACGGTGGCCCGAACCATTTTGGCCAATGCCAACACACTTGGCGCCGCCACAGGGTGTTTGGGGGTAAACGGCCAACGAGGTCAGAGAGTGGATCTCCCTTCCCGCTCTGACACTTCACCGTTCCGCTTAGCGAAAGCCGAGTTAATTTCCTTCCAGCCATATTGCAGGGGATGCGGTCCTTGAGGGCCGAGGGGAGAGGAAGTGCCAGTGCGGCAGACTCGTCTGCCTGCACAAGGCGAAGGACCACGTATGGGATGGCACGGCGAAAGGCTTGGATCGGGCGATGGCCAAGTCCTGGTCCACCGCTCAGTCCAACGCCGCAGGCTCGTCTAAGGAGCTTCTGTCCAAGGCGCTTGACGATGTCTCGGATCCAGTGCTGAAGGCGACGCTGTCGGCCGTGCTCCAGGGACACGAGAAGCAGCAGCAGGAGGCGAAGCCCGGGCAAAGCACCTCCCCAGGGTAATCAGTACAGCGAGCTGACGGAGTGTAGAAGGACGCGCTGCGCGTCCTTCCACGATCCGTCAGCTCGCTGCTCTGATTGATTGCTCTTATTTGGATTGCGCCGTCATCCAAACAAGAGCAAGCAAAGCAGAACTTCAATCGTGCACGTAGACAGCTGGCTCGGGCACTTGCTAAAGAGGATAAGGCAATTCACAATCGCACAACAACAGAGATCTCGAGGATCATTGCCGTCAAAGCACTTGCCGCGGAGACGGGAGTAAGTAACAATGGATCGGCCAACCACCAAGGTCCCGACAGTGAAGACAGTCTTCGCGGACCACAGGTGGGACGATGAATTCTTCAAGCAAGTTGAGGCAGAGTTCGAACGCGAGGCCAGCGCACGCGAGGAGCCGTGCAAGCTGGAGGGTGATCTCGGTGCCGCCAAGGAGCAGATCACCTCAGCCGGGGACCCGGGGTCGGGCCTGGAGGGACCACGTCACGGCCGTGAGGGAGGCTTATGGCGGAGTGGCTGGTCCTGCAGGCGGGTGTCCCAGATCCGACGCCTCCAACTTCGGGAAGCTCTTCGGGCGGCTCTTCGGCGCGTGCGACTGCGGCAACCACCAAGTCCGACCAGGAGGCGAGGCAGGAGAGGGAGGCGGCGATCCACCGGGAGGGCAAGCGCATCGGGGCTGCTAAGGAGGCGTCGCTGAAGGCGGCGACGAAGGCGGCCAACGTAATGGCGGAGGCGGCTGACGGCGCCGCTGGTGAGGGGACAGCAGGCTCCTGGGTGATACTGTCGAGCCTCGTTGGTCATCAGGTCGTACCAGCGGAGGCGCGACGAGTTCGGCCAGCTCAGGCGGCACGTCCAGGCGGAGATGCCGATGCTGCGCAACTGATCTCTCGAACGCCACCACTCTCGGCATCGAGCCTTGGAGCTGCATTCAGGAGCTTCAGTATGGCGGTGTGGCTCAGAATTGTGACCCGTGTGAAGCTCATCAGTGGCAGAGGCGGCGGCTGGCAGCTGGACTCACGAGGCCCGGGCGGCCGCGTCCAAGCTGCGCGTCGGCCCTGCTCGGCCCGCTGGCCGCCCCTGCGGCGCAGCTTCGGGCACGTTCGGGGCCGACGAAGGCGGGAATGTCGCCGTGGCACGGGGACACGTCGGGTCCACCACCTCCGTCGTCATCATGGCGGGGATCGGAGGGCTGTGTGCGAGTGGGTTAGACATGCTGGACGGTCTCTGACCAGATGTCTAGAGGTATGGATGTATATATATATATATATATACATGTATAAAGAAAGATCTCTGGCCGCAAGTGCTGAGCAAGGCTAAGCAGGCGGCCAGGGCTAAATTAGATCAAGCTCGCGTCGCGAACGCTCTCGTATCAGTACTTCCTCCATCTCTCCACCTCCCTCCTCGAACCTCCTCCTCCACCCCCCTCCTCACTCGTCGCACCTCCTCCTCCTCCTCCTCCTCCTCCTCCTCCTCCTCCTCCTCCTCCTCCTCCTCCTCCTCCCACTCCTCCTCCTCCTCCTCCTCCTCCTCCTCCTCCTCCTCCTCCTCCTCCTCCTCCTCCTCCTCCATAGTTGTTTCTCGGGTTCGGGGCAGGAGGCCGCAGCCCCACAGGGACGATGGCGAGATCGAGCAGGAAAACAACAAAAGGAAGGGAGCGACGGCCACGCGGCAGCGGCGCAGGCACCGTCCGCCGAACCGCCGAGACGCTGCATGTCCTCCCAGCCGCTGCTCATCTTACTCAACCTCCCCCCCCCTCCTCTACGTGCACGTCCTGTAAGACGAAGCCAGGGCGAGGATAATTCGGGTGAGGATAAGTCGGGAATCTTTGAGATCCAGCGGCTCTAGAGAATGTCTCGGGCGCCGCGGCCTTCCGGAACGCTCCGAGAGCGTTCCGGATCGCTCTGGAACAGATTTATCCTTGTCCTAGCACCGTCCGATCCTCCTCCAAGCGCACGCCCTGTCCTCCTGTCCCCCCCCCTCCCGGCCGCGAGAACCCCTTCCAGCCAGGATCGGGCCATGGGTCTCGGGGGAGGCACTGGCCCTGGCACGGGGGGAGGCCAGAAGAGGGAGAGGCTGGACGTTCAGCAACAGCAGAACTGGCCCAGGGCTAGGGCTGCGATCCCAGAGCGAGATGCCCCGTGCTGGGGGGAGCAGAAGAACAACCGCTGCTCCCCAGACCTGTCCAGGGGGCGCGTTCCGACCAGGACTCCGAGGCGACCCCAGCCGTGGTGACGAAAGTCCCCCCCCACGGAGGCCCAGGCGAAGACGAGAGAAGGGAAGCAGCATCTGCGTCCTCTCCCATGCTCCTACACCATGCGAAATGCTTAAGAAATCATGGGTTAAGAAATTCATAGTCTCAGAAATTGAATGAAACCCAGAACTTCTATCAAAATCTTGGGATTTACATTGAAAAGTTAAGAAAAATCGAGACTCTGGACGAAAACTTAGGTTTTCTTAAGCATCGCCTAGGGTGTATGGTCTGCTTGCCAAGAGCTTGGGAAGAGGTCGCCTCCCGCCGCTCCCTCCCAGCTCGCCTGCGAACCTCGGCCCCCGGGCTGCTGAGCCTCGGATCGACCCCCAGACCTGCCTTGGGGAGCGCTCTGCCCAGAGTCTCGAGGTCGAGATCCGAGATGCAGCCGTTGCCGCGCGAAGCCTCCAACACGTAGAACAGGGCTAGGATCGGGATAAATCGCTCCAGAGCGTTCCGGAGCGCTCTCAGAGCGTTCTGGAACGCTCTGGAGCGGCCGCGGCGCCCAGTACATCCTCCAAACCCGCCGATTCTCAGAGATTTCGAATTATCCCGATCCGATTTTGTCCCGATCTTCGCGTCGTTTTAACACGGCCCACCAATTTGGAGTCCCAGAACGGTGCGGTGACAAACCGTGCGGGACCTCGAAATCCCCCAAGACCTCACCGCACGGTCCGTCATCGCAGGGTCTTATGCCCCAGTCGCCCGAGACGTCCTCGGAGAACGACCCGAAACCCAAAACAGTGCGGTGACCCCCAATCCCAACCGGCTCACCGCACGGCGTGGTCACCACACCGATTGGGGCTCTTAGGACATTTTTTGGTGGGCCTGTAGGCGAGCAAGGACGCTTCGCCACTGCTTGACTCCATGGACTCCCTAAGCGCCCAAGGACCTCACGCGGTCGAAGTCGCCGTCCAGCACGTGCACCGGCAGGCGGTGGAACCCGCAGAGCCTGCCGCCGAGACCGGCGGGCTCCTCGTCCCCCTCGCCGAGGGCCCCCGCGGCGTCCCCGACGGCGTCCAGCGCCTCGAGCCCGCACGCGCGCGCGAGAGAGGCTAGGATTGCAGATCGCGGGAGGATGCCGCTGCTGTGTTTGTTGTTGCGCGAGGCACAAGGACATACTAGTACTATACGTCCTCCTTGGAGGCTCGCGTCCGACCCGAACATATAGTATACCCATCTTGTAGTATATCGTTTCCGGAGCGGTGTGGCCAGAACGCGCCCGCCACGGCGCGTATACTGTAAGATTCGTCGGTGCGAGCGTCGCCCCTGGGGGGGGGCGACGCACATATGGTATACATATGTTGGGGTGACGCCGATGTTGGTGTTGCTGCTGCTGCTGCTGTGGCTGGTGTCGAAGTCTCAGCCTTGCCTGAAGAATAGCTGTTGCCAATGCCCGGAGCACCTCGTGTCTTCTCGCTTGAAGGTGCTCCTCCCGGAGCTCGCACCTTGTTTTCTACACAACTGGAAATCTTCCTCCTCTGATTGGGCCCCTGGCCCCCGGTTTACGATAAAACAACGGCTCCCACCTGAATTCCCCCACCAATAAATCTAACTCGCTCAAGGGCGCGGGACTTCTGCACAGTCTATCCAAGAATCGCGCCCTCGACACTCAGGGCTCACGCTCTCGCTGGATTCCTCACACGATTTGCTTGGGAATCGCGCTATACCTACAAAACTTCCTCGCGATTCATGCAGGAATGACGTTTCAATGACCCGCCCGCTCGACCCCGCCTGTCTTGCTCGATCCTGCTCTCTCCGCGTTGTCATTTCTCTCCTCCATTCCCCTGTTTCAGGGTCTGCGTCAACTACACGTGGCAGGTGCGAAAGACATATCCATACAGGGGTATGATCGAAGACGAAGAGGGCGGGCAATGACAGCCTGTGATTAATGAACACGCCGAACGACGCCGACGACGAAGAAGACGACAACGACGACCCCAATGGACGACGACGACGGGCAAAGACGACAACGACTACAACTGGGCGACGAGGACGACGATGGCGACGATGACGAAGACGACAACGCGACGTCAACGACGACGACGTCGACGTCGAAGACGACAACGACGACGACGACAAAAATGACGACGACGAAGATGACCGCGACAACGAGGACGAACACGACGATAACGACGACGAAGACGGCGAGTACGACGACGCCGACGGACGACGACGACTGGCAACGACGACAGCGACTAGAACTGGGCGACGACGACGATGGCGACGATGACGAAGACGACAACGCGACGACAACGACGACGACGTCGACAACGACCCCGACACCGACGACGACGATGACGACGACGACAACAACGACGACGATGACGACGACAACGAGAACAAACGAGACGATGACGACGAAGACGACGATTACAACGACGCCGACGGACGACGACGACTGACAACGACGACAGCGACTAGAACTGGACGACGACGACGACGACGAAGACGGTGGCGACGATGACGAAGACGACAACGCGACGACAACGACTTCGACGACGACGGCGACGACGACGACGGACGACGACGACTACAACATACAACAACTAACCGACGACAACGACGACTGGGCGACGACGACAACCCCGATGCACGACGACGACGACTGAGCGACGGCGACGACTACGCTGGCAACGACGACACACAGACGACGACGTTGGCAAGACGAAGACAGCAACGACGACGACGACGGCATCCTCCTCTCCCTCCTTGTCCTCCAGCTCCTCATCCTCCTTTTCCTCCTCCTCCTTCACCTCATCCTCTTCCTTCTCATGATCAGCAGCATCATCATAATCATGTCATCATCACCATCTCATCGTCAACATCCTCATCATCATGATCATCATCAGCAGCAGCGGCATCATCATCAATACCATCATCATTAGCATCGTCATCATCATCACCACCATCAGCATCATAACCAGAATCAGCATCATCACCATCACCACCACCACCATCATAATCATCATCATCTTCAGGTTCATCATCATCATCATCACCATCAGCGACATCATCCGCATAAGCATCATCATGATCATCATCAGCAGCAACCTGATCATCACCACCATCATCATCAGCAGAAGCATCATCATGATCCGCATCATCATCATGAGCATCATCGTCATCATCAGCATCATCGTCACCATCAGCACCGGACGCATCGACAACATCACCATCATCGCCATGCTAGTCAGCATCAGCATCGTCATCAGCATCATCATCATCATCGTCATCATGATCATCACCAGCGATCACCATCATCAGCATCATCATCACCATCATCATCATCTTCATCATAAACATCAGCATTATCATCGACATCATCATAAAACATCAGCATCACCAGAACCATCATCATCATCATCATGGCATCAGCATCATCACCACCATCATCATCATCACCATCATCATCAGCGTCATCACCATCATCATAATCATTATTATCAGCAGCATCATGCTCATCAGCAGCATCATCATCAGCAGCATCATGAGCATCATCATCATCGGCATCATGATCAGCATCATCGTCACCATCAGCATCATCATCACCATCAGCATCGTAAGCATTGTCATCATCATCATTAGCAGCAGCATCAGGCTCATCATCATCAGCATCGTCATCATCATCATCATCATCATCATCATCATCATTGTCATCATCATCATCATCATCATCATCATAATCATCATCATCATCGTCATGATCAGTATCATCAGCGTCATCATCCTCATCAGGATCATCATCAACAACATCATCATAATCATCATCATCCGCATCACCATCAACACCATCGTCATCATCAACATCATCAACCACCTGTTTCTTCTCATGTTTGACCTCCGCCTTCTCCTCCATTCCCTCCTGCTCTCTCCCCCGTGCTTGGCACCTCGGGGCATGAATCATATCGACAGGATCGGGTGGAACACCGTACTCCTCCGGCTCTTCCTGCTTCTCCTCTTTGCAACATGCCCGAACACACGAGCCTTGCGCATGTGAGCGCCCAACCTGTCTGTGAGCACCCGAACACCAACAATACACTCGTGGGCACCACGGCAGCCTGCGAGCACCGAACTGTGCCTGTCAGCACCGATGCGCCTGCGAGCACCAAGCAATGACGGCTGCTGCGAATCGGTGGTGCGCGCAAGCGCCGCGACCGCACAAATGTGCTCTGCGCCACCAATGGCACACTGCGCAGGGGGGTGGGCGGCAATGCCGGGGCGCTCTGTGAGGGTTGAGGGTGGGCGGCACGTTATTAGAGCCTCTCCCCTTGAATTAGGTTCTGCGGAGATGGATGGCCTGACGCGCCCTATGGCCCAGCCTATGCGAAACTCTCGTGGGCTCGTCTCGTTGCCACGGCCGAGCGGTTTCTTTGGCGAACGTGAGATTCGGCTGTCCGTGCGAGACACCCTGCCCCCTCCCCCTCTTGCCTAGGACGAAACCGATGTGATAACACGAGTGGCTCAGGGTGCATTCCAGGAATTCCGGAGCATCTTCCGGCTCTTGTTTCCGCAGCCCGTGTGGAACATCAGGTCATCTTGGGAACCCTGGAAGATTTATCATGACCTCTTGCTCCTCTGGTTGCCCGACCCCTCCGCCCCACCCGATCCACGCGCACGCCGCCCTCCCTCCCGAGCGCCCCTCCGAACAGACCCCCTCGATGCAGAAGAGCTGCGAGGCCCGAGCGGGAACCGTGCGGCAGAAGGTGTGCGCCCCATCTCCCACTGGGAGGACGCCAACCATACACCGTCACTCCTCCTCCTCCTCCTCCTCCTCCTCCTCCTCCTCCTCCTCCTCCTCCTCCTCCTCCTCCTCCTCCCCCTCCCCCTCCCCCTCCCCCTCCTCCTCCTCCTCCTCCTCCTCTCCTCCTCCTCCTCCTCCTCCTCCTCCTCCTCCTGCCCAGTCCCACCCTGATCGGCTTGTCTCAAGGTCTGGCC